GCGTCACTATGTTCATTTCTATGATTCGGTGTCTTATGTACAAATACTTTTTAAAGAAAATACTTCCTTTCCTTTTAAAGGATGCACTGGACGTTCCTGTAAAATCCAAGTTAACCCGATTTCAATAAAGCGGCTGTACAGGAAGCAGAGTTCTCGGGTCTGTGGAAGGCAGCGCTGGATGGAGACTGCGGGTGGGAACTACTCGGTGTAAGCAGGGCGTGGGGCTGGTGTAGCCCCCCGTGCGTGGAGACGGCGCCTGTTGAAGTCCCGCTGAGGTTCCCGTGTAAAAGCTCTGCTTTGGAAGGGGGTTGATGCAGGAGCCTGTTGTGACTTGATGGGGGCTTTTTCCTGTGCTGGGAACAATCTGCTTCTCCTGGTTGTAAACTCGGAGAGTCTGGGTTAAAGGCACACAGGGACAAGGTCACGTGTGAGGGGAGACAATAAAGGGTGAGTGGCGATGGCAGCGGAGCGGTGTTGTTGCTTGGAGCTGAGCGAAAGCCTCTGTGAAAACTCGTTGGCGGCACTTTTCCGGGATCTAATCCCCACAGTCCTGAGGAAAACCCCCAGTAGTGGGTGCTGCTCCTCTGGCCGTAGCTGGGAGGAACCCCCTTTCCCAGACAGCTGCTCGCTGTGTGTCTGCAGCCTTTCCGCTCCCTCGGCAACACCAGCTGCTGCTGTGGTACTCGCCTTGGGATGCAGCCTCAGCTGGAGGGAGTCGGATTTCCTCCTAAACATGCAGGAGGAACCGTTGGAGTTCAGCTGGTTGTTACCCTGGTTTGAGGAGAAGCTGCAGCCTGGTGATTCCTCTGGGGCACGGGATGATGGAGACTATAGAGATCTGAAGGAAGGTCACTTGGCGCAAGACTGGTCTAGACAAATTAAAGGATAAACTTAACATCTCCTTAGTGGGTCAGTTGAATTCCTACAGAGCTGGGTTTCGTGCTTAGCGTTGATCTGTGGCCCCAAAGCAGCTGGCCCCCTCCTCGAGCGCCACAGCCGTCTCCAAGCGCGTCTGAGGTGCCCGTGAGCTGACGCAGCAGCGAACCTCAGCACGCAGCCCTGGCCTGACCTTTCTGCCCGCCTCCCTCGCTGGCCCCAGCGCTGCCTGGAGACGTGCAGCCAGCTCTGTCCCAGCCACCCAGGCGTCCGAAGCTGCTCTGAAGCAGAAGAGGGTTAGTTCGGTTCCGTGGCAGACAGCTGTGGCGCGAGGAGTCCGTAGTGAAACGTGGCTAGGCACTCGGCTGAGACTCACACGGGACAGACGCTTCCTGCGTCTCAGCTTTTAGCTTACAGACACATCGCTGGCGGCAGCAAACCCAACCTGGGGTTGGGAGCTTGCGCACCCGCTGCCAAGCGCTGCTGTGGGGCGCAGGGGTCAGCTAACCTCACCGGCCTCGCTGGCATTACCGTCCTGCGTGAAATGCCTGGGCACCAGTGGAACGGCACTCTGACACCAACTGCCTCCTCCCTACAGCCCGCTTGATGCGCGAAGCGACCTCTGCTGCGACGCATCCCGCTGCGCTCCCTCCTCGCGTTCGCGGTTCCTGGGTTCTGTTCCGTTGGACCACTTGTCATGTCCTAGAAAAGGCACGAACCGAGCACTGTGAAGGAAGTTTTTGGCTAAACCCCACCTCATCCCTAAGAAATCCATGGAGATTTAAGGTCAGTGCCAACACCTGCATTGTAAGAGAGCCCTGGGGCCCTGTCTCCTAGGCAGAGCTTTAAGAGCTGAAGCGCAGCAGCAGACGTCTCCAGGGCTGGGCCTGGCATGCAAAGCCTCGCTCCTAGCAGGAAAAACAGGAATCAAGTTCACGGCTTGAATAAAGCAGCTCTCTTTCAGCACCATAACGTTTTATTAAACTACACTATCAAAATCACATTGATGGCAGGGAGAACAATGCTATCAGTGCATATTTCCTGGGTTAAGACTGTATTCAGAGCATCCAGCAGTTGCTGAGGAAAAGGATGCTGGAACAGATCCTTCATAGCCAAAGAGACAGTAGAAAACTACAAAAATCAGGGCAGTTAGGGGCTGGTGGAAAGAGACCGGGGAAACGCTTCAAGTGAGATCAGTCTGGGAGGCTTACTGGTAAAAAGTTCACTTTTAACTGGTGTGGAACGTCTCCAACAGAGCTGAAGAGGCTGAGGATCAGCAGGTTTTAACCAGCAGCCCCTGTCCCTGCAACTGCCTGTTCACAAATATTGTGTACTGCTCCTGCACTGGTGAACCTGAGTGCAACAGCTTGACGTGGACGAGGGCTATAAAAACCTGCTGCGGCATCTAGAACAAACAGTAAAAATTCCCAGAAATACATTCTATACAGAAGTAAAAAAAAAAAAACCACCAGACCACACCCAAACAGTTCTGTTTCAGACAGCTATCCGTACACCGGGTTGAATTTTAAAAGTCTTACTCTAACACCTACGTAACTACTCCTACTCTGCCCGAGCCGCTGCTACGCGACGCACCACGGCAGCGGCTCAGAGCTGCCTCCTGGCACGAAGAAGACAACCAGCAGCCGCCCTCGGGAGCCGGGCACCCTGGTCTGCTGCGACAAACCTTCCCAAGGCTGGCAAGTAGAGGTTTATAGGAAATAAGGCTATTTTCAGTCTTCACCAAGACTCTTCTTTCAGTGACGTTCTGAACGGTGGAAGCAGTAAAGACACCGTCTGCTCCACCGGAACGAGGTCAGGCTCTCGGAACAGCAGAAGGCAGGACAGTTGGCATTCGAGAGGAGAGGAACTATGTACACGGGGCTCCGGAGTTTCATTTCCCAACAGCGTTCTCTGCCCAGCCAGCTGGGGCTCTGCTTCACGGGGTGCTTGGGGTCGTCAGTAACACCCGTCCTTCCAGGAATCGTCCTCGGCGGTCTGCGCCGACTGGAGAAGCCTGGTTCGAGAGACAAAGAAAAAGGTGGCTCAGGTACAGGCAGGGAGAGCCCGGTAACCTGCTGGGGCACAGGGGAATGTTCCACGGAGGGTAAGGACACGCTTCGCTGAAGTGGCAGAGCAGCCCCTGTGTGCTTGTGAGAGGCACTTGGAGGCCTTACTACTGGTTGAGCTTCTTCTAACTACACAGCTCTTGCTTTACACTGCCTACAGGCTTCCATACCCACTGTCCAACTACTTAGGGAGCTAATCATAAAAGCTAAAAATAAATGCCAAAAAGTAAGTCCCCAAACCCGTTGCATCTTTCTGGGTTAAGAGGCGCCCCCCAAATCAGGTCAGACTTGTGCAACGAGAACAAAAACGTGAGGTTTTGGGAACCATGCTCTACGTTCTCCTTTCACCCTGCTGTATGAAGGTACTGTGACGATCCAGAAGCCGCCTTTGGACAAGCTTGTTCGTTTTTTTCCTGCTTTGCAAACCTCAACACTCACCAGGCCTTGGGCAGTGCCCACCCTCAGTCCCGTAAAGGCTCAGGAAGAAAAAACCCACCAAACCCATTTCAGCAGTAGGCACAGAGGCACCCAGGTCGCTCATCTGGGAAGATTCTCAGGAAAGAGTTTATGAGTCCTTTGGAAGTTTTCCGCTTCCCAAACACAGGTGTATGCACCAAATAAATATGTGCCATAATCATAGAACGGTTTGGGTTGGAAGGGACCTTAAAGATCATCTAGTTCATTCATTAAAGTTCATCATGTTCATTAGGAAGAAGTTTGAGCCTCTTCATTTTCCCAGGTAATTAGCTCTGTTTAATAAAAGTGCTTTTTAAATGGGTGGGATACTGAAATACCAAACAGTTTGGTGGTGGATTACAGGGTAGAAGGGTCTCTCACCCAGCAGCTGAGAGTCCCAGCCCCTCAGTTCCCACACACATTCACAGAACTTCACTTCAGTGCTATTTTGGGGAACGGCAACTCTTTGCTTCTTGGCTGGGGGCAAAGTACTCAATGTCCATGAATCTCCCAGCTAAGTGCTACGCTTTGAGGGGTCCCCAGCCACAACCCTACGTCTGAAGTCCGTAGAGTCATGGAATCACAGCAGGGTTTGGGTGGGAAGGGACTTTTACAGCCCCTCCAGTGCCACCTCCTGCCACGGGCAGGGACACCTTCCACAGCCCAGGTTGCTCCAAGCCTCATCCAGCCTGGCCTTGGACACTCCCAGGGATGGGGCATCCACAGCTTCTCTGGGCAACCTGTCCCAGTGCTCCCACCCTCTGCGGGAAGAATTCCTTCCTGATGCCCCATGTCAATCTCCCTCTTTCCATTTAAACCCGTCACCCAGCTCTGACGCAACTCTACGCCCGTGTCACACACTAAAATCCGAGATGAACCTAACTTCGTAAAACTGTTTCTAATCAGTGAATTAAAGGCAGAGACTCAAGTCTGTGAGGCTTGAGGTCTCACACTCACCTCCTGGAGGGTGGCGTTGGCTTGCTCCTGGGCACCGAGATTCCTCCGACAGACGTGCGTGCCTTAACGGGTGAATTTTTTGCCACAGTGCCCATATTACTGCTTCTGGTAGCGCCACTGCTACTGGAAGAGCCTGTGCTGAGCGAAGATGCCTGTGGTTTTCGCACTCCGCTGACGGGATTTGTGTAGCCGCAGGCTTTTACTGGCTGCCTGGGCGTTAGCAGAGAGTTTGTGCACGACGCGGCTTTCATCGGCTGTCGCACCGTTAAGGGAGACTGCCCAGCACTGGAGGAATACCTGAGCTTACTAGGAGCCAGACCTAGAAACGGAACCACAGAATAACCCAGCTGCCAGGAGTAATTTAACAGCACTTGGGGACACCGGGCCTTCTGAGGGCCTGGGGTCAGCTACGCAGACAAAAGGACGTGGACTACAGCGGCGCGGAGAGAAGCCGGCGCACTGACCTGCCGAGCGCTGCTGCGTTCTTGGAATGCGACTGCTGGGCACCTGCAGGTCCGACTCCAAGCTCCGACTGCTCCTGACGGACTCCAAAGCTCGAAGACTCGTCCTGGCCAGGTTGGGCATGCTGTGGCGCATCTCCTCTGAAATGAAGAGCAAATTCTCCGTTTGCCGCTCCTGGAGCAGTTTCGAGTGTGGTTTAGACTCTCGAAAGAGACAGGCGCTTAAAAGCAGAGGAGTGTGTAACTGTCACCTCCCGCTACACAGCAGCGCTTTGCAGTGTCTGAATTCCTTTTCCGTGACTCGCAGCAGAAGCTCCCAAGGGCTTACCTTCGCTGCTGGCGTACTTCAGCCGGTCTGGCATCGGACTCTGCACGGAGCGCCGGGGGGGGCGGATACGGGAAGCAGATGACCTGCCATAATCTGCACTGGAAGAAGGGGACTGACATCGGGGTGAGCTGAGCGGGGACGGCGAGTATCTGTGAGCGCTGCGGTAGGACAGGGAACAGTCATAGTCATCCTCATCCTCAAGGCTGTAGGTGTCGAACTCCTGGTCACTGTAGGTACCTCTTCGCAGGGAGTGAAGGGAGGCACTGGAACTGCGACGCGACACGGACGCAGAGCTGGAGGCACAATCCTGACGGAGGCCTGGAGACAGAGGGCGACAGGGCTCGGAGTCAGCCTACTTTCACACCAAAATTCCTTACCCTGTTGGCAGTACAAATGAGAAGTGATGGCTTGATCCGCAATTCATTTCACCTGGGAAGCAGAGGCAAGTTAATTCCCATCCGTACGGAAGACACCCGCAGCCTATGGGCTCTCTCAACTGGGACAGTGTCACCCGCACCGAGACTGTCTAATGAGAGGAACGGGTTAATGAATTGCTGAACTGACCTGAATTGCTGCTGATGGCACACACAGGCAGCTGTGACTGGGGGCTATATACTGCCACGGAAGCTCCTTCACCTGAGCCAGGTGTAGGGGTCTGATTTTCAGCAAGGATTGTTTCAGTTGGGATGATTCCACACCCACCAGCATCGCAACAGGTTGAAACAAAGGTTTGAGCTTCTGCCTCCAAGTGAATAAACCACCTTTTTACTGACATCTACGGCACACGCCTTGTTTACCTACAGGTCCTCCCCCAACTCAGGCCTTTACTTAACTCTTCCTGCCTAAAAAACCACAAGCAACTTCTCACCAAGAACTAATACAGCCAACGGGTCGAAGGGACATGGGAGAAAGGCGTCTCTTGAAGTTCCAAAAATCCTTTTTCTCAGTGCAGTCTCTTCATGGCAGGGATTTAAAAACCCTCACTCTTTTCCCTCACTCATTTCCCTCACTCTTCTCCCCTCCCAATGCAAACATGAAAAGCCTCCATCATTCTCAGGATGAAGCGCGGTTCATATTTCACTGGAAACTGGGTAATGTGACAGGTTTTCCTTGACCTTTTTTTGGAAGCGATCACAAAGCATAGGAAAATGGTCAAGTTTAGAAAGAAAAAGCTCCTTGTTTGCTGTATTCACTTTGATACAGCTTTTCCTCAGGTGTAATGAAGTGATAACCAGATCTTGCATCTGCTCTGCTCGGTCTCCTACTGCACACGCTGGGTCACAGTGGGTCTTAAATTTCCCAAAGCACAGTACTAAGTGAATGTTCTCCAGAAGAAAAACAGAGAACTTCATTCTCTATTTCCTGTAAATCAAATTAACGATGAATTTGCACAGAAAAACTGATCCAACCACTGTGTTCCACCTTGACCTTCCATTCGGAGCTCATCTTAACTGCACTGAAGCCAACAGAAGGTTTACCCGTGATGCAACGGGAACCAGAGGGGCCGTGAAACCCTGCGCTCGACAGGCGCTGTATGTGCAAGTTAAACGCACCGAGCTGGCTCCGAGCTCTTCCCCAGAGCAAAACTCCAGCTGTCATTGCAGCGCTGGCTTTCAGTACCCTTAAATTCTGGGGTTTCCTTAATGCAGCAGTGAAATGCTACTTGCACCTTCTGCAAAATGAACCCAGGAAATGCAGCCCTCTGGACACCTCTGCACCGGATCTGAGGCTGCGGCAGGGCAGCCTGCTCCAAAATACAAGTATTTGCAAGCAAAAACCTGTGCTGGGTTATTTTTTCAGCTAGATCAGTCCCCCAAACTGTGGTCACATGGTGGGTTTGCTCAAGGGAGGGGACAGCAACAGCTGCTGCTGTTCAACCTCCTGCTGCTGTGAAACAGTTCCTCCTGGGGCCTCACCTGTACATCAGGGACCACCCAGGATGGAGAATTTTGGAGTATTAAAGGGCGCTTGCATGTGTAAGGTGGGGCTTTGGATAACACTCTCGAGTTCCTCTCTGCTTTAAGAGGTGTCATCCTGGGATGTTACACAACTGCTAAGTTTAAGTGGCAGTTTGGGCCCATAGATTTTGACAGGAAGGCCCTGCAAACCACACATTTCAAAGGATCCACTAAATTATTCTTTTGCTGGGGAAAGCGGAAGAGAAGAACAGTTGGAGCCCATCTACACTCCTCTAGAACTGTAACCCAAAGGAGATCGCCAGCACATACTTTCTTCCTGAAGGCGCGCCATGACCTGGACGTCAGTCAAGTCCTGCAGCTTGTATCCCATGGAGATGGAGTCATCCGACGTGCTCAGCTCGCTGTCCACAGACGACTGAGAGCTCAGGGCGGAATGCATGCTCAAATAACCTTTGGGAGGGGAGAGGAGGAACACAACAAGCATTCAGCCATCCACATACAAAGCAAGAATGAGCAGCAGAGCATTAACTCCAGTAATAGAATCAGTGCAGTGAGGTATGGTTGCTAGAAGTAATTAAGCTGTGAGGAGTTACTCAGAACACGGTACTCTGTACTGTAACCTGCAGTTTCCAAGAGGCAGCGTGTCTTTGTGCAGGGAAAACAACTCTGGATTTCTGCCCAGAAGGTAATGCTTGGTAATTCTGAGCTTAGGAATTTACTTCAAAAGATCAGTGTTATTTCAGCCTGTTTGGAGAAAGGGTCAACTACTGACCGAGATGTTGAGCAGCCAAGTTACACCAAGTGCTACACAAGGGTGTTGGTGAGCAGCCGTAGGAGTAAAGGCATCCAAACGGCTTTCGGGGCACAGCACCTCGAAAATCAGTCATGCAGCCTGCGTATGCGGGGTTTACCCGAGATTGCCTCCTCCCCATTCCCAAGGTTTATCCATATCTTTCCCCTCTCATCATAAACTAAACTCTCTCTTATTGGGAAGGGCATAGGTTGTTCATACAACAGGTCAGAAAAAACAAACTGGAGGGATCTCTCCACCATGGAAGTTTTTACCTGAGTCAAACACATCGATTTTCTTTTGAGGAATAACAATACCATCATTATCATCAACAGGCACAAGCTTCTACCTGTTAGTACTCTCTCTTAATTCAAGCAAGTTGGGATTTTCCCATGGCAGAAGAGTACTACCACTTGCTCCCGAAACAGGGAGGTGAAAACCAGCCACGTAACCTGGGGGCTACACTGTTCCTTGGCCTGCAGATGCCGGGGGCTTGGAAGTCACCCTGCACACAGAAATGTGGTGTCACAACTGCCTTTGGTCCTCCTCCAACACTCCTTTTCCTGGCATTTGGGATGACTGCAACTGCAGGAAAGCTAAGCTTATCTCCATCTGCAGATGCGATGACAGGAGAATCCTGCTACCGTTCCCTCAGCATTAATTTTGGCTTAGGGGAGTAATGTTGAGAGACAGCACACAATTCTGGGCATTCCTTCATCACCTGCTCCCGTTTTGTAACTACCATACTGCTCTGTATTAAAAAACACACCCAAAAAACCACTGCTAGGAGAAATTTTGGTAACAGAGATGGATTGGTAAAACCCTTACATGGCAAATGCTGGCCTACAGAACACTGCAATGCACTCCTAGCATAATTAACCCTGGAACAGAGACACGTAGGACCATCTAACTTAGAGCTACTTTAGGAGAGAGCACATCATTACCTTAAACAATTCCAAGACAAGGCTGCAATTAGTACTATGAAGAGTTAAGACACACAAAAGCAATTAAAAACAATCAAACCGCACGGCCAGACAGATCAGACAAAGCTGGTAGATACGCAGGACCCCAGGAGCACTTAACTCCACTTTGGGCTAGAGTAGACTTAAGAAATCCCACTCCTGCTCAAGAAGGGATGCGAGATCATCACTTAGATAAAAAGCAACAAGTAGGCTGTAGCACACCAGGCGATAAACCAAGAATGTGTCAGCCTCCCAAAGCCTCTGGTGATGTTCACCATCGACTTTTCCTGCAGCTCACGCAGCTGTGCCTGCTGTGGAGGAAGGAGCCCTGAAGGCAGGGCACCTACTGCAGAGCTCTCACCCAGCCACGAGGAATAAGCATCAGCAAAACATCTAAGAGCCCTTGCTGGGCAACCCTATCAACCTACGCTCCCTTCCGGCCAGGTAGGAGAAAAGCAGCAGGTTCCTAACACTGTTTCTTCCACCAGTTTGGAGAAGCAGCAACTGGTACCACGGAAGACACGAGGCTGAAGTCCAGGTGTAAGACAGGCTTCGTACACGGCCATGGAGCACGCTGCTTTTTAGCAGTAACCCTCCGATTCCCCGTCTGAAGAGGTTTTGCAGTTTCAAGACGCTCATCTAACACAGCGACGGCCGTGAGAGCGCGGTGCGAGGCCGCGTGCGCGTTACACAAACACACACTCCAGGTCCAGGCGCTCCGGCATGACAACTGCACGGCTGCGTAACACAATCCGGCTTCTTTCCTTCTGGCGCCAGGAAAAGACATGGCGAGGAGGTGAAATAAAGCCAACACGAGGGGAAGCTGCACCAGGACGCGGCGTAATGAACAAGCAGCGGGGTAGCTAACACCTCCTTTAACCCTAAACACTGGAGTTTTAACGCAGCTGCACCTGTAAGGCAGCTTGCTGAACAGCGAATTCCCCACCCAGGGTTCGGTTTGCTCGCGGCGTTTCAGCTTGCAGGCCTACGTAACCAACGGTCGCAGGGAAGACAGACATCCGCATTCTTTCACCGGCGCAAGCGGTGGCTCAGCGCTGCAAGATGAACCGATTATGGCTTTCATTACAGAAACCAAGATACATCGCATCTGGCTTCTGTAAAAGGCTCTTTTGTTGAGCTTTTACGGGACGTTAAGCATCTGTTGTTTGAATGCTGGGGAAGCTCCGTTTTCTCAGAAATAAAATGAAGGTGGAGTCAGTCCAATGGACAGTGAACTTCGAACTCAGTCAGCACTCAGAGTCACAGGGAAGAGCCGCCAAGCTGGTGAAACGGCCTCTCACGTACAGTCCCACCCGGACAGAGCCTGCTCTACACTCGCTTTTTACCTGGTACCCATGACCACCTGAGCAGGTCTGCGGCGTGACTGCGGTCCGAAGTTGCACAGACACTTTGGTTTCACGCGTCAGTAACCGCTCCTGCGTGAACGGGTGGTCTGACACCTAGATTGCCAACTAACCTCGTATTAAAGCCGAGAAATTGGTTCAGAGTCGCCCCTGCAGAATTCAGCGTGCAGAAATAACCAGTCCCGCCCGCATCCTTTTGTTTGCACAACAGAGATAAGTGTTCAATTCTATTTACAGCAGAAAGCTGCAGGTCTCCAAATACCTGCAGCTGTGAAAACACCCCTGCACAACCCTTTTTTTTCCTTAAAAAAATAAAGGTTCAGCTAACGTGGAGTTTCAAGCCAGAAATTGTTAAAACATGCTTAATGTTTTTAAACATGCAGATTAGGATTTAGCAATTTCCACCAAAACCAAACAAATCAAGGAAGAGTCCTTTGACAGTAAAGCCAGGAGGCAAAGCGTTTGTCCCAGGAAACGAGCATGAGCTGCACCAGGGATGAAGGAAGCTGCTGAGGGAGCCCACATGGCCTCCTGCAGCCGCTGTTCAGGAGAAGCTTGGTTATCATACCTGTGAAGAGCAGCTTCTACCGAGAACTCTGCCTAAGCTGCCCCCGGGGTCGGAAATCTTACTCCAAACACAATTAAGTCTGTGGAAAACCTTCTGTCGTTTGGTCTTTAGCCAATGCAGAGGCTGATCCCGGAGACTTCGCCTTTCCCCGTAAGGCATGAGGCTTCCTCCTGCCACCCCCAGCCATCCCAGTTTCCAAAAGACGTCACAAACCCCGACGCCAGCCGACGGAACCCCAGCCACCTGATCCATTCAACACCTACGCACGACAGCGTTACTCGAGAGCAGCAGTTCCTTTGCCCCAATGCTGTTTTCTATTTTAAGTCACTCGAAATTAGTACAATTTATAAATGCATAAAGTTATACAAACAAAACAGTGAAGTGACTACAGGACGTGTAGAACCACGGAGGTTTTCTCCCACGTAACAGACAAAACCCGGGGCAGTAAGTGAGGGAATTAAAAGGAGAAAACCCCGTGGGTGGGCTTGCATCTCTTAACGACTTCTCCCTGTGTCAAACGGCAACACCCCCTGCATTTCCAACACTACAGGTTCACACTGCTCTACTGACATGCCATACCTGAGCTGCCACAGGTTAGTAGTGCTTTGTTAGTCGATTTGGGATGCCCGGGAGAGTTTAGTGCATTGCTACAGGAGCCTGTCTCTGTATTCAAGTTATGAGCACTCGGTGATGCCAGCGGGCTGCAATACAGGTTTTTCCATCTACTGGCTAGAAGGAAAAAAATACAAAAAAACCATCAAGGTTATCAAATTATTTTTAAAACCAAAGAGCATAAGATAAAGAAAAGCAGCAGATCAAACAAGGTTAAGTACTGTAACATGTACTTCAGTAGGACATCTCCATGGTGTTGGTTACAAGAGGTAGGAGGCGAAGCAGCGCCTGGTCCTTGCCTGCTCTCCCCTTTAACTTGTTTTGTCACTCCTGAAGAACTCCAAGAATACCTACAGGCAGACTTGGCTTTGAAGGACCCCCGCGTGTCTGAAGGCTTCAGTGCAGGTCCTCAAAGATGACTGTGCTCATAAATCGCTGTCACTGCTACACCCCATCTGTATTTGAAAGAGCTCCGTTGCGCTTCGTGTTTACACGCTGTTTTCAATTGTTAACGGTGGAAGCAAAACAGCTTTAAAGCCCAAAGAGCTATGCCTTTAGATTAAAAGGACAGCAAATCAGTATGAAAAACAACCGTTGGGAACTATGTACTCAGCACACAGCCTCGTGCAGGAGTGAGTGAAACAGCCAAAAGGAGCCAGGTAGGAAAACTTCGTGCATCCATGCTTACAGAAGTTGGGAATCAGCAGCCACAATGCTAAGGAGACTTCATGATTTGTCTGTGTTCAAGGGGCTGCTGAACTGCCCACCAAACCCTCACCAATGAGAGAAGAGTAGCTAGGAAAATCATGAAGGTTCACTATGTAAAAAAGAAAACTACTTCTCTTCCCCACAAATGTAAGATCAGGCTGTTTTAGGTAAAAAAAGGAGTAGTGGAGTACAAACAAAGCCTGATATATCTCAGCCAGAAAGCAACAAGTTAATCAAATGAACATTCATTCAAGTTTTTAAGTGCAGACGGTTGATAAATTAAGTTTGTTCCCAAACTTCGTTATCTCAAATCAGGAATTTCAAGGCTGACCTCAAAATAAGCCAGATCACAAACAGTGCCAAAACACTGCTGGAATGTAAACTTAAAAAAAAAAAACCAAGCCCAAACAAACCTCTCAGACTCCCAATCCCTGAGGTCAAATCACTGGTCAAACTGAAACCAGTTGCTGCATTCGCACCGAAGCCAAAGCCGGCCCTTCGAACCCCCGGCAGACAACAGCTTTTGTACCCCGGGGGGTGCATCTTCAGCAGCCACCGCTGACCCTCAAAACGTTCAGTCTGGCAGAAACTTCACTTTCTCCAACACCGCTGACCAGCTTTTGTGTTCAGCCCTTCCTGAGCCAATCGGGACAGACGAGATTGCAACACACCCTGCTCTGCAAACGCTGTTCAGGGAGGAGTTGTGGGAAGAAAATGAACCAGGCCTTCCCTCCAGCTGCGGGTAGATGACAGCTGCCAACACAGGGAAGCTGTACGATACACAAGCCTAGACAACCTAGAAAAGGATTCCTTATTCACCCCTCAGTGTCTTGGCTACCAGCAACTCAGCCCAGGACTCCAGCATTTTACATACAAGCCCGGAGCACATCTGAAATGCAGAAGGTGGGATATCCACCAGGATTCCAGGTGATGTGCAACACATGTAAAGGCAGAATAACCTTCTCCACTTTGCCTAGTCACCTGTGGTTTAGTCATGCATCTGTTCTAACAGCTCTTACAGCAGTGAAAGGCTAATAGGGGATCGATCCTTCTGTGCTCTGATAAAGGAAAACACACCCCACCAGCCCCGTGTACCGACTACGATGGTGCTGTGCGGCCAGCGTACGGAGCGCTCCGTAGCGGCTTCCTTTCGGGCAGATTAATAAAATCAGGGATTTTTTTCCCCTCAGGGGTTAAGTAACACAGCTGAAAGTCACCACGGAGTGCTTTTACGGGATGATAAAGCTGGAAGAAAAATTAGGTTTCCAAGTGACACCATTTCTTCCAGTTAGAGATTTTAATGTTTCATGACTGGATGGGCCAAATGGGATGGGACCAGGCTCTTTCCAGTGGTGTCCAGCGACAGGACAAGGGGCAACGGGCACAAACTGGAGTGCCTGGAGTTCCACCTGCACTAGAGGAAAACGTCTTTACTCTGAGGGTGCCAGAGCGCGGACACGTGCGGCCCAGAGAGGCTGGGGAGTCTCCTTCCCCGGAGATACTCAGCACCCGCCGGATGCGTTCCTGTCCAACCTGCTTTGGCAGGGGGGGTTGGACTAGAGGATCTCCGAGGGTGCCTTGCAACCCCCAGTGTTCTGTGGTTACTGTAAGCTTTGGGCAACTATTTTACCCAGGTAATAATACCACTGGTAAGATACAGTAAGAATAATCACCATTAGGAACACTCAACACTAGAACTTCCTACACAGAAAAAAGCTGCAACAATAATTTCATAGGATTCTCCCCCCCTCACCCCAGAAGCACATTTTTTTCCCCTCCTCTATGTATCTTTAATATAAAGTTTAAATATTAAAGAAAAAAATTCAAGAGCCTGAAAACGCTAAAGTTTAGTGTGTTTAGGCTCTGAACGTGTTAAGAAAAGAGGAAGCGAGGTGGGCAGTTTGGTGATTAATCTGAAATGCCTCTGTGGGTGCCTGAAAAAGGCAGAGGGGGAAAGCGCCGCAGCTCAGTCTGTCTGTTACTGGTAACGAGCCCCGATTTCTTCACGCTTACAGCGCGACCTCGTGCCCTCAGCAGCCGCGGCTCAGCGATGCCAGCCAGAGGCCTTTACGCAGTCACGACCCTGGCCGTGCCAAGACGTGCCAGGAGCAGAAGCCCTGAGGTGCAAGCCCTGCAGATGCTCCCACAGCCGCTCACCTCGCGTCACCTCCGCTTTACTGTTTCTCCATAAGGAGAAGGACACAAGTGGATGCGAAAGACCCGATGCTCCTGGGTTACGTACCTTGATCAAGTCTGTTTATGAGGGTTCGGCAGGCTGCTTCTGTCTCGGGGCTGGGATTATCCAACACCTGCCGGCACCATTTCAGCGGCGAGTCCGTTTTCTGATCCGTAGCAGATTTTCTTGGGGACACATAGAGCCTTTGCAAGGATTGAAAGAGACAGTAAGAAACGCTCATCACCTCCAAGCACACAGCCGCCAAAGCAGCACTTACTGAAGTCTAACAGGATGCAAGGGAAAAGTTATCCAAATTAAAAGCAGGGGGAAAAGTAACGTTTAAATTCTCTAGAGTGACTCAGAAACAAAATTGACTGAAACAACGGTTTTAAGTTTTGGATCCGCTCCAAGGTGAGCGACAACCCTCCTGGTCACTGGACGGTTTACGCTGCTCCCACCAGCTGTCCTCTCACTGATCTGTACACAGCGTTTCACCTTCTTCGGTGCAGAATCCAGTGTTTGAGCACAAAATGATCAGGGGGGTGGTTTTAAGATTTCAAGGAACGTCTGCATGCGCTCCAGTTGCCTCCTTACGCTCTCTTCCAGCAATAACTTTTGACGCTCCGGCAGCAAGATAGAGCAAGTCTTTCTGCTCCAGTTACTCATTCTCACACAGACATCTCATTCGATCTGTAAAATGCTCCTTTCCACAACAAAACTAATATAAATCATCTGGTATTTTAGCAACTCCCCCATTAATTTCTGAAAACCCTTCGTGTTTAACATATACAAAGGTACTGTGAGCCTCTCGGTTGTCAGTGTGTTTTTTGCCTCTCTACAAAAGCAACGTTTGGCCAAGATGAAACACGCAAACTGGGATATTTGGGCTTGTTCAGCCTGGAGAAGGGAAGCTCCAGGGAGACCTTACAGCCCCTTCCAGTGCCTGGGGGGGCTACAAGAACCCTGGGGGGGGCTTTTCCCAAGGGCAGGGAGTGACAGGACAAGGGGTAACAGGTTTAAATGGAAAGAGGGAGATGGAGATGGGACATCAGGAAGGAATTCTTCCTGCAGAGGGTGGGAGCACTGGAACAGGTTGCCCAGAGATGCTGTGGATGCCCCATCCCTGGCAGTGTCCAAGGCCAGGCTGGACGAGGCTTGGAGCAATCTGGTCTATGGAAGGTGTCTCTGCCCGTGGCAGGGGGTGGGACTGGGGGGGAGCTTTAGGGTCCCTTCCAACCTAAACCTTTCCATGATTCTAAAAACGTCCATCTGTCCTATTCCTTCTCTCCTATCCTGTATCTGAAACAATCAAGCCCAAAGCTGTACTAAGGCAGAAAGCTGACCTGGAATCCTACAATTTTGCACCCAGGGCTATCGGATTGAGCATCTCTGTATGCAAAGTCGCATTTTCAGGGAGCCATCTAATCCCTTTTTTGGATCTGTGGATCCACCCACAGCACCCGAATGCGACGAGCCCCACAAAGCACCGATGCGTGGGGCAAAGAGCCACCTCCGCTCGCTCTGGAAGTCACCTGCTGGGTACTCGTGACACTGTGTGGGTCGGGCCCTTGCGCTCTACTGCCTCTTGACATGCCACTCCTCATTTTACAGATCTTAACAGTGTCCCTGCCCCTGGCCCGACCCAGCCTTTTCAGGGAGTAGGGATTCAGTCTCTTCAGTCAGGTCTCGTACACCTTTTTCATACCAAGCTGTACACAAAACCACACACAAATTAAATATCCCAAAGCTCATCTGCTATTGACAGGATAAATGCCAAGAAACAGGAACCCAAATATTCCTGAAAGTGCAACGTTACCTTTTATGAAAGGCCCCACGAGCACATCTTGCCGCGTTCCTGCACGGGCAAACGAGCATTACCCCCACCCGCATCCAACAAACCCGAGACAGCCAAGTGCTCTCTCTGGATTTATTTGACAGTTCAGACCAAAAAAGCAGCAATAAAACCATCAAACAAAAAAGAGGCCAATAGTCTCCTCAGGGCAGGTCACGCTGTTCTTCACATATTTTAGGTTAAGATGAGAATCCTGCTCTACTTCGGGAAATGGCTGCTCCTTCCCTGCTTCTGCGTTCCCATCCAGGGCTGTACCGCTGGAAAGGGGCACACTCACCCGTCCTCCCATGGAGCAGAGCTCCCCACTTCCCAGGCTGCCCGAGCCCGCTGTGGTCTGCCAGAGGAATCTGTTTTCAGCCGACGAGCCTATTGGCAAGAGCTGGCCTCACAATTTCAATCAACTCACTGAAGTCAGCACAACTCCATTTTTCAGAGCCCTGACAGGCAGCTTATCAAACAGAGGAATTCTGGTTTGATTCTGCAGCCTCAGGTTTACTATTTTCCTTTTTAAGTGGCTCTGGGGAAGGGTTCAAGGTCTTCAGCAAGCTAACTTCTTAAAATGCGCCGGCACAGCTATTCTGCTGGAGCACCACGCTGACAGAACCAAACCAAAATCAACCACAAATGCCAGCCCCACAGAGTGAGGATTTTCCTGGGTGCAGCATTAGGAACCAAAAGCCACCTTTTCCCAGGGGCTGCCCCCTCCCAGCGTCACCCCCTCGCAGCACAACCGTGAGCCCAAGGCACTCTGCTCTGTGGAAAAACCACGCAGAGCTCGATTTCTGCAAGTTTTATCCTCTGAGGCCGTTCGATTCGTCAGGTTAACTTGATCCAATAAGCAGTGGAAAAAGGATGCTCAGGCATGCCGTTAAGTATCCATCCGACCGGCAGTTAAGGAGTCGGCCAAAGCCTCTGGGCATAAGGAACCCGTCATCACTGACCTGCTCCACCTTGCTCGCTGTTCCTACAGCTCAGCAGCTCAGCGGGAAGCACGCTCTGCTTCAACGGCAAAAGGTGATGCTGGGGATGTTTTGCCATCCCAAGTGACAATGCAGAAGCTATTGAGGGAGTCACGAGGCTTCACACAAACTTCAGAAAGTAACTATTTGGGCCGTGTACCTCAATCTGATGTACTGGGGTTCCGCTGCACAACTTATTTCATGTGAACGAGGTTTTCTTTGACTCCCGCGAGGAAACCCTTTGATAAGGCAATTTCAGTTTCTGCTTACGTGTTCCCCTTTCCCACACACAGCAGTTTAGGTAACGCACCTCCGGGAAGAGCCAAGTAGTTTTACTTGTGCAGCAGCCACTACATCAGATTTTTCTTCCGTTAGGAAGGAAGGCACTCAAAAATTAAATCTGTGGGATTCATTGCCCTTTATCCTGACATATTCCAATGCAGTGAAGGCAGAGCATCCTCTAGAGATACTATTTTTCTTTTGGGGTCAATGTCACAGGATTTGTGGGCATTAATGGCCACTATTGTTTGATTCTGTGAACAGCAGTTTACATAAAACCCCCAAGAATCTAGAAAACAGCATGACAGCTTTCTCATCTGGTTCCCTGCACGGACAAAAAAGCACCTTCACAACTCAGTAACACAGCCCATCGATGGCAGGAGGGCGAGGCAGAACTGCCTGGGAATCCAAGATCCTAATCACACGGAGTATTTGCGCTAGTAAACCTACAGATCGTCAGAAGAGAATCCAGGCTGCAGAAAGGTCTACGACTACTACACTAGTAAATTAAAGTAAATACTACACTAGTAAATTAAAGTAGAATCAACCTTGGCTTTTAGGGTGCATGCTTGGTTTATTACCCATCTTCCCCAGCACTTGGCACCTGCGCTGCGCCGGTACCAAAAATGACAAGCACTGTGCTGATTTTCAAACCTGTGAGTTATGTACAACACATGGAGAGAGACCCGAGGTAGCTATGTGTGCTTACAGCAATTTAGGTTTGTAAGATAGGTCTCCATGAAGTGCTGAGATGACAGCTAAATTCTTCTATAAAGCATGTATTTCAAGCAGAAAATGCATTTATTTCCCCCTTCTTTATTTGTCAGGCTTCAGAGAGCTGCTGTTCAGATTTAGTACCGTGCTTATGCTGTTCTAGCCCCAAATCTGAACACTGTTGTTGAACAGAAATACCAGTGCTGTCAATACTGTGTTAAGGAAAGCAACAGTGAAACAATACGGCCCAGGTCTTGAAGGGATAGAAACAGGAAAGAGTAAGAAAAACCCTGTAAACACTCCACACAAACACATTATAGTGTTTGCCCAAGTACCAGGCCAGGCTGGATGGTCTAATGGAAGGTGGATGGTCTAGTGGAAGGTGTCCCTGCCCATGGCAGGGGGGTTAGAACTACATGATCTTTAAGGTCCCTTCCAGCCCAAACCATTCTATGAAGTGGAGGTTTATTCCCAAGAAACGGAAATTGGAAAGAGAGCAACACTATACAGCAAACCCACGAGCAGCATCCCTTTTTCACGCCCATCTAGTAACTAACCCTGCCAGACAACGTACCAAAACCCCAGTTACCAATCACAGAAGCTCTAAACTCCGCACAGGCGTAAGCTCCTGCCCCAGCCGGCAGCCTGCAGGATGATCAAACGGCACCTCGTGGGACACCTTCAGCGTGGCAGCAGGCACACGCCGCACAAGGTCGCCCGTCCCCTCCGGCAGCACGACTGAGCAGGCTGATTACCGTGCCCACACCTCATTTTACACACGAGGCGAGCCAACAACACCTCATTTTACACAGGGAGCCGTGAGCCACCACCTCAAGTGTTTCAGTAAGACCTCGATCATTTTAAGGCTCCACCGCCGGAAGTGATTTAAGGTAAAAGGTCATGTTTTGCACACAAGTGCCAGACAAGCAGGTAGAATTTTCTCCTTTCAGCTTACCCCACTCCAGCGCCAGCACTTACTGGCACCAGAGACGGTAACGCTGTCTCAAGGCCTCTGTGGCGCTGGCACTTACTGGCAAGAGAGACGGTAACGCTGTCTCAAGGCCGCACGGACAGGTTCTGGGGGGGGTCACCCACCCAGAGGCTGCGCACAGCGCGACAGACGTCCCACAGCCCGTCGGAGAGGCGAAGCGCAGCCAGGTAACGCGCCACCCGAACAACCCAGGCAATCGGGCAGCGGGTTTGGTAAGTCACGGCGACACAGCCAACTGATCCAACTGATCCATCGTTAAACACCTCTGCAAGGTTTTCATCATGAGACCACTCTGAGAAACCAAGACCCTGCACAGCAACATCTACGTCACGCAGAGTGTCGGTGGTAAGAGTACCACAGGCGAACTACTGCGTGGCTGGTGGAAATGGATTGTATCGAGAGCAGGGAGCTGAAGTTCTCCCCCACATCAGCAGCACAACATGCTGTATTTTTCATGATACGGTATAATACCTGAATTCAGTGCAGAATCACATCCTCGTGTGAACTTCTCCAGAAAGCGTGTTCCCGTCTCCAGCGGTACAAGCAGCCCATGCCAACAACATCCTGCAGTATGCTGCATGAAATGCTTTAAGACACTGATCTAGAAGGCCACTGGACGTGGGGTTCGGCTGAAAACATACCCTCCCAGGAAACCCCTAGGTAATCACAGACGAGGGCAAACCATGCTCCTGCCTCCTACACGGGCTGCTTCAAGGCATCCTACTGGCTGCGCAGAACTCTGGGGCTCGAGCAGGAGACGACACAGCACTAAGGTGATGGCAGCACAACCCATTTTCAGCTGAAAGACGGGCTTTTGGGAATGAAAAGCTGTGCAAGGCCGTTAGCAGCAATGCAGAGATTCCCCTGGGTGACATGGATTCCTTCTCACCCCACAAAAAAATGGGACGCTAGGCTGAGCAGACCTGTATATCCATGTGTGCACCCATCACATTTCACACATCCTTCTGAAACGAACTCAGCAATTTAGAAGCACTGTAAATAAAGGCTCTGTCACATGGGTTTGTTTGGTATGGTGGGATGTGGGTTCGTTTGGTTGTTTAAAAACGCAGCACACACGTCACAGCTTACTGAAGCTTTGTGTTAAACAGCAGGCAGTTCTACCGCGGGATCAGGATCCTGAGCAGCAGAAGCAATACTGGGGAGACGTGTTCAAGGACCTCTTAAGAAAAGCTGAAGTTGTTCAAGGTGAGGCACGGACAGAGTCTGGCACCCATTCCATCAAAGGGGAAGCAGGCAAAAATAGTGTAATCCAGTAAAAAGGCAGAAAGAGTATTGAAAAAGCTTAAGGCTTTTCATTTCTGCCATTTCTTTCTCTTTCACGCAGAGACATGTTAATAAGAACACTTTATAGTTCAGAGGGGAGTGGAATTTGAGTCCTTTAGTCATAAAACCAAGCCGAAATTCTCTCACTCAAGTCTTACCAGGAAAAACACCAACGGGCGAAACACCCAACAAGTCGCACAGGAAGGCACATAACACACAGCTGGACACCCATCACCGCCCGGAGAACAAACCAAATGCAGAGACAGCCGGGACTGAATTCTTTCATCCGGGGGGCACCCAAGGATGACAGACACGGCAACGCCAGCGCATCTTGCTTGCTCCCTCGGACGCGGGTAACAGCCCTTCCACAAACAGCCCAGGGGCTGACGCACGGGGTGAGGGAGCGACTGGGTAGCAGGAACGGGCACACCGAGTTCACATGGTGCTGAAGCCGACTTTCACCCGATCAGGTCTCGAGGGTATTTACAATTTTGAGTAGCCATTTGAGAAAGTGGCCTCGGCAGCCAAGTCAAGGGAGAGATACCGGAGCAGTACAGAGTTACCGTGGCTGCAGGAGGTGCAGCCCCTCGCGTTTCACAGCTCAGTCACCGCAGCGTTGTTTTTCAAACCCTTAGAGCACGCAGATCTTGCTGAAGCCAAGGGAAGCTGCACGGAAACCTCTGATCCGAATGAAACCGGCAATTTCAAAACCGGGCAGAAACCGAGACCGTCTGCACCTGCAGAGAGAAGCAGCAAATCCGCCGCCCGCTCCTGCGTGCCTGCCCTCCCGGGCAACGGGTTGTGGGGTCACCTCTGCGGCTCAGGTGGCGAAAACCCACACCGCTGGCTGAACCAGAGGTTTCACACCTACTGAGCACTCGGGGGGGGCATCAGCACAACCCCACAACAGAAATTACCCTGAAGTTTGGGCCTGTTCTTAAAACTAGAATGACACTGGGATACAAGAACTAAAGCCCCTCTCGAGAGCTCCCCGCTCCCCACCTCCTCTTTTAAACACCTTCATACTTTACTCAGGATGAGTACGATGAGTTCTGAGGATGAACTCAGGATGAGTTCTTAGTATTCTTTAAGGTATAAAGCACCATCCCCTCTACTAGAGAATATTAAAAAGATGGTCAGCAAAAGGACTGGGCTGTTAGAAGCTATCAATTCAGCGACAGGAAAAAACAAAGCCAGTGGGGATTCCTCAGAATTTACCAAATATCATAAGTATCAAGGTCCACGTGACACATGCCGGTAGTGGCCACAGGCTTTTTCCTAACGCAGAGTGTTAAAAAAATACCTCAAATACAGCCCTACAGTAAGCCCCGGGCTCTGCCCATCACACTGCTCACCACCTTTAGATCTTCCCTATAGGCAGGGCAGAACTCGCCCCATCAGCAAAGCCACCTCATTAAAACCCATCCTAACCCCACACAGCGTGACGGGGAGGGCTGTGGGGTCGGTTTGATTTTAAAAAGCCCGCCGCCACCGTTTCCTGGCTACTGCCGAGGGGAAAGTGCGAATATCCGCTGGGCAGCACGCGAGCCATGCTCAGGAGAGCTGAGGGTGTCTGGCAACGGGCACAGCCACGCTACAGGCCACACACACGTTACCGCTCCCCGCGTTCAGTTTAGCTGAAGAGCTCTGGAACAAGAAACCATCGTTAAACGGCTTCTTGGCTTAGCAGGTCTGTTTGCCAAGAGGAAAACACACCCGACCAGTCCAAGCAACACGATCAAAGGTGATTTATGATAATCAAACGGGCACAAGACCTACGCAATCCCGCCTTTATTTAAGCTCCCCAGGGCACTTCTTTTTAACCTGTTGGCCGATATTAACCAAATGGGACAAGAAAACAGAGGTATGAAAACCATTAAGATCCTACAAAGTCCAGTGAGAAGGGTACCTGGTAAAGAAGGACCTTACTAGCCCCCAGCTCAAGGGAAGGTTAATAAACTGAGCCCCTGTGTGCAGAATCCCTCCCGACTGCACCAGACAGCATCTGCTGCCTGGGTAAACCTCAGGCTCCGTCTGGTTCCTTTACCAAGTCAGCACAGCTGGAAGAATCTCTCATGTCACAGACTACATCCACATGAACATAAGACTAGCTCTTTGCATTAGCACAGCAATAGCGAAGCCTGTCCTCCAATTCAGCTTGTTAAATGCATTCCCTTATCTTTTCCTGGGGAAGAAATCTGCACAAAATGCTGTTTAGGTATGTCAAAGCGTGTCAGTGACCAAGCTACAGCCAGTATTTGGGTTTTACAAGAAAGCTGGCAAAGGAAACAAACAAATCATGAGGAGCAGAAGAATTTGAAAACAAATGAGAAGTAACTTGTACCACCTGGAGCCAGGAGAGGAGCCTGGACGAGCTTTCGGGGCGGCCGGGGAAAGAACGCATATGAAGGAACTCGATTTTGAAGAACTCCTCTAACCTCGTACAATCCTCTCCAAACTAACACCAAAAACGAGTCTTCCCTCGTCTGTCAGCCCGGAAACCTTTTCCCTGGTTTTAATATAACCTTGAATTTAGAACTGAGCTGACACCATTAGTTACCGAGTTCCAGTACACCAATAAAGTTTGTCTTCGCTCCTAACGGCTAATGAATTCTCAGAGTTTAGGATTTGTTTTGTATTCAGCAAGCAGTCTGCAATGCCGTCATCGTAGCTGCCAGGTTCGTCCCCAGCCACACAGTCTGAGCCAAGGCGCAGACCCCTGAGCTGTCCTACACAGCCTTAAAATCAAGAACTCCAGGTAAAGTCTGGAGAATTAGTCTCGACCTTTAGCTAGCTGGGAAAGGGGAAGGGAAATTAATCTGCTCATTCCTAAAACAAGTTCTAAACAAGGCTGCTGGTGAAGCGGAGAGTCCTACAAAGTAAGGTCAGCTACGGATTACATCAGGGATCTGTTTCGGTTCACAACAGACAGGTGAACTGCGGGGAAACACTACTGGGGAAATGGAAGTGAGTTGTCTTCTCGCATGCTCACGGCAGCCACAGGTTCCAGGGGGTCTAAGGTCTCAGTTCTTAACTGAATGCAGCATTTGAAAGTCACAAAGTTTAAAAACTCCGTTATCCACTCATCTGCATGCGTGACACATAAACAAACTACCAGGGAAAGGAAGGCTGCTGAGCTCGCTACAGCAGTGGCGGGGGGAAGGGGGAAAGAGATGATTTAAACTGAGTTAAGACAAAAAACACGGCACAATGGTCTTAAAACCAAGACCAGACAATAATGACAAGCGCATTCTCGCTGGTACAAATCCAAGCAGTGCACAGAAATCACCTTACACCCTCCAAAATCATCGCAGAGCTAATCAGGGAAGGCCCCGAGCGCAGCAGCAGGGGTTACTGAAGGTCTGAAACACCTACCAGCTATCCTCCTCCTCACCGCACTGGTCAAGCTCTAACACTTTCACTTCATCCAGGTCTGTGTTACTCGAAAGGCTTTCCAAACCTCCACATTCCTCACCGGGATTTTCTTCGCTCATTTTAGCTGAGGGATGCACAGCTGCCGTGACCAAGTTTCCCAGAAGCTCCGTGCCGTTACTCGTATCCGTACGTGAGGAATGTCTGGGGCCGCTGTCGCTCTCCGCTTCCGCCTTACGCAGGCTGGAAGACAATTCCTCAGGGGCACTGTGGTGACGGTACTGCGTTTGGGCATCCGTGTCTTTTTTCCAGCAGTTGTTCTCTCCTTCCTCTTTTCTTATTTTGCTCAGCTGGCTGTGCAGATCGGCCATGATCTGCAATTCCTGCTTCTCCATCATCGCATTGATGCCGTTACGGATTTCCATCCCGTTAAGACCAGAGTCATGGTTACCCACACCGGGGTGGAGCTCACTCTGCACGCTGGTCCCCAGCACGCTCCTGCTGCTCTTCGTTCTTGGGTGCTGGTTCTCGAGCTCCAGTCTCCTCACCAGCTCCCGCAGCTTTCGCACCTCCTCCAGCTCCGGGCCAACCTCCTCGGAAGCCGGCTCCGTGTCAGGGCCCATGGCAGAGTTCTCCGTCGAGTCGCGTCCTAAGTCAGGCTCCAGAGCATGATCCTGCTGTATAACCGGGGCATTTCCAGGAACTACCATCATCCAAAACGCACGGTTTCACTGCAAGACATGGAAAACGTGTAAAAGCTCCAGAAAGATGCACAACATTTTAAGCAAGCTGGAATTCAACACCAAAAATTCTGACTTTTATAAGCATAAAGAATTATGGTGGGGTGCGAGGTGACCATCTAATCAAAGTCTACTGAAGAAGAACAACTGAAATCGGCGTGAAGCATTTCAACAGCTGGTTTCAAAGAGGTAGGATGTAACTGTTAGGCTACAGAACTGACTGTGTAAGTAAAAGGAAGCTCATTTCATCGCCCACAATAGTTTGGTTCCCTTCTGTTTACAAACAAAATGCACGAGAAAAGCACGGATTGCGGAAAGTCAGGAAACACAATTAGCGAGGTGCTGACGTCAGACCAGGACGCCAAAAACATCCTTTGTTCATTGCCAGGTTTAGCCTGGGAAAGAAGAAAAACAAAACGTGAACACACTTCTGTATCAGCTCATCCCAAAGGCTAATGGCAGTTGACTGCAGTTAGGTGAAAATAAGCATAATTCACGTCTTTGCTGGCACATTTTCCTGCTGCAGCTCAGAGAGGCAAGCTCTGATGCAAACAGCAAAAAAAAAGGTCAGTACATCCCACCACAGCTTACATATCCCATGAAGTTTCACAGAATGAAGCCACCTCTCCGCTCCCCGTCTTCAGTACCACACCCCCCGAGGCTGTGTCAGCAGGGGAGCGTGCAGCGCACCATCGCTCAGGCAGCTTTGAGCTGCGTGGGTGTCCCGGCTCCCCAAAAGCCGGAGAATGCTAGGGCACACCCCCCCACAGTGCTACACCACTTACACGATGAGCAAACACTGGTTTTTCCCTGCACCAGCGATTTAGGGGAGGCTGGGGCGTGCGCACTCGCTTCTAATCTGCTACAGAGCAAAGCAGAGCAGATTCCCCCAAGAACACCAGAAATCCCGCGTGTTCTGCAGAAGGGCAAACAGCCGGGTGACAGAAGAGTTAGACGACAACCGACTCGAGGCTTACGAGACCCGATGCAGGCTTTACAACCGCACCTCAACGCCCGTTTCTGGGGGCTGCAGATGTTCTTCCCCCCTCCTGCTGCTGCCTGAAGATTTCTCCCGTTTTTAAGGCCCAGCTGCCGGCAGGTAGAGGAAACCACGAGAATTAAGCGTAACACGAAGCACACAGAGCAAGCAAGGTTAAAAATACAGGTTCGCAGACTAGTAGGGGTTGGAAGGGGCCTCTAGAGATCACCCAGCCCAAGACACCCCCCACACCCCTTTGCGCCTCCCCCCTACGCAGTCACTTATAACCACAGTAGCAGAGCACGTTTCCTACAAACCAGAGGTTTTGTTCGTGGGGTTTTGTTTTTACTGGACAGGCTTCTTTTTCTTTCGGCCCTGCACGCTCAAGATGAAAATTTTAGGCCTATGTTTGAATTAATCACGAACGGCACTGGGGAAGGGCGGAACGTGCACCGAGTGGGCGGCAGCGCGCCGTGACGGCGGCTTTCGAACCCGCGCTGCTGCAGTCCTCGCGACTCGGGGGAACGAAATTCAACTTGCGGTTACCAAGCAATCCGATTCCTACCCGCGTGCCCACTTGGCAAACCCTCCCTGCGCGCGCTCTGGCTCCTGGAGAAACCATCCGAGCTCTGGGCGCGTAAGGGAACTCCCATCTCCAAAGCCGCTCGGCCACTCGCTGGGGATGCGCCAGCGCGGAGTTTTCGGAGTTCTGCTGTCAAAGCAAAACACAAGGACCCAGGGGGTGGGCAATGAGATCTGTCA